GTGTGCAGGTGTGCAGGTGTGCAGGTGTGCAGGTGTGCAGGTGTGCAGGTGTGCAGGTGTGCAGGTGTGCAGGTGTGCATGGTCTTCATGCGTGCACGTGTGCGTGTGCGTGTGCGTGTGCGTGTGCGTGTGCGTGTGCGTGTGCGTGTGCGTGCGCGTGCGCGTGCGCGTGCGCGTGCGCGTGTGCGTACGCGCGTGCGAATGCGCGCGCGTGCGCCTGTGCGTGCGTGCGCATGTGCACGTGTGCGCGTGTGCACTTTTGCTCGTGCATGCGTGTGTGCGCAATTGTCATCAATGGTTAAACAAGCAACTACCTCCCGTTAAGTTTGCCAATTCTCAATCCTCAACCGTGGATCTGCAACCGTAGTCTTTTCACCTAAAGTCTGAAGCTGCCCCAAACGAAATCACTGAGTATGACGATCAACTCTGCGTGCCCCCCAACCCGCATCTGAGCAGGTGCCTGTGAGCCTGATGAGCGTCGCCGACTGCGACCTACTGCAGATTGTATCATCGACTCCGAGTTACATCTGTGGAAACACTGGCACATCGCCTGCGGTGTCTCTTCCCAGAAAAGACCTGCGGTAAACGTCACCACTGCGCATCGGCCACTGGCATCTAAGCGAATTCAGAGCTTTGCGCACGAGTAGGAATTGACAGGCGATGCCAAGATTCCAGCAGCCCTTGCAAACCCCAGTGAGTACTTTGAAGACTGACTGCTCGGGGTGCCACCCGTGGCGCAGTAGCAATCATCTTGGAGCCATCGCTGGAAGACGTCTGCACCTTGGTGACCAATCCATATGCACTTCGCCCAAGGCCTGGTGCCCTGAAACTGAGGCAAAGGCAGATTGCGGGAGGATGGGCTTGCAAGTGAGATACATCTTGCATTGCCTCAGTCAGGTTTGCATGACGGGCGGGGGTCGACTTTGTCCAGTCACAAGCTTAAGCGCTACAGAACCAAGACATATGAGACTCCAAGTTGTGCTGTTTGATCCGCACCTTCGATCTGCACAGGGGCGCGATCCGCGGCGTGCATCATGCGGTGCACACTTGGGCTCTGCTTCGATGCTATCAGCTTGGTAGGCTTGGAGCCATGTGAGGGTGCTGCTGCAGGCGTTTTAATACAGCAAAGCAGACTCAGGCACGTGCCAGCATGTAAGTGCGTAACATTACGAAATCTGTAGCCATGCAAATAACTCAAATCAACACTTTCTGGCAGATGATGCTATCATGTTGGACGTTCTTGAACCACCTCGACGCGAAACGGTGCAAGGTGCGAAAACCCCCTCCATACCGCTCCATCTAGCATGACAAGAAAACAGCCCACAGCTGGTGAGCGCACCGACTTCGTCAGCTTCTCAAAAGCTGGAAGGACGATGTCCTGAATCCTGGGCGGGTGGATCGAGTGCAAAGCTTCTGCGATGCAAGATCCTAGAACAAGCCACAACGGTCAAGGTCACTGCGTGTTTTTGTCAAAGATCTCGAAAATGCGGCTCAAGCCCATCAGAACCTTCGGACAGCTGTGGCTTGACGAATTTTCGGCGTTCTTGCTCGCTCAGGTTAGCCTGGACTTTCACTTTCGGCGCAGCTGTGGCCAGTAGCTGCAACATCCTGAACAGGGGCAAACAGTGCTCCCTCGTGCCATGCTGTCGTGGCTTGTCGGGAGAATTGTCCCGTGGTGGTACTGGCGACACCCTCTCTCCGCCCCTCCACCCTCCCCGACCCTCGAGGATTATATTTTCGATCATTCGTCAGCTTCGCGGAACACCTTCGTCGACTCATCCCCGAGAGAAAGGCACAGAGTCTTTTATGGCTACTTTCAATTTGTGCGACTGCGCCTTGGAGGGTCCAAGTTTGTGGGAGACAGCTCAACTCTTTTGGTCAGGGTATGTGGCTTTCCGCTTTGCGCAACATTGCTACTCGGCCAAACGAAAGAGAAACCGAGCCAAGATCACAACAATGGCCCTGAGGAGACACGTGTCCTCACTACCGAACGCATGTCTCGGGACAAGGCCCTCGACCCCGCACAGACATAACCAACCTCAGAAATGGAAATCTTTACATGCAGGCTCAAGGACACATTGCTGCTCGACAATGCAACATGAAATCCTGACCCAGCATATGTTGCATAGCGTTAAACAGGGGCATGGACCCCACGAATTCATCACGCTGATTAGGGCTCATGTCCCGGCACGTTTAGGTCAACTGTGCCACTGTGTCAACAAAGCATGCACTGGCGTCAGGCGCAAACCAACGCGGACTCATAGTCCGTAGTCCGTACGGACTCCGAGGGGCTCATGAACCACATTGAGGTCCCTTGCAGCGCTTCAGAAGACTTGAAATTCCTTCGAACCCCATCCTGCATGCGAGGAATGCAACCAAAAAGACCTCGTGCGGTTTCGGGAATACGTCTCAGCGTGTGGGACGTGGCCAGACCATGTAGGATGGTTCCCTTGATGGATCAGCCTGGACGTTCAAGACTCTTCTGGGTATATGTATGTGTGCGTGTGTCATCACACTGGCGCCAAACACATATCGGCAAATCACACCCGGATTTCTTTGAGACTGACACGTCTGACACACTTCTTTGATGTATCCCGCCAGGCACTCAAGGCGACCAGCAATGCAAGAGAACTGTTGGCAACAGATGCTGGCCTACTGAAGCCCTAGTGACTGGAGTGCCCACAACACCCGGTCCCGCAAAGTGCCCCACCGAGAGATATTCCCGCACCGTCTCACGGAGTACCACAAGACTCCAAACTCCAGATGGCCCTCAAAACATGTTTCGTATGCTGTTGTGCTCCTGGAATGGTCTCCTACCGAAATGAAAAAAGAAAGAACGAAGTAAAAAGTTCGAAAATGACCAGAAAGAGAGAGAGAGAGAGAGAGAGAGAGAGAGAGAGCGAGCGAGGGCAATTAATAAAGGTGAACATCACAAGAAGAAAACTGACTCCTTCCCTCAGAATGGGATGGCACTCCAGGGATTCTCTGTTGTGGGCATGGGCACTCCAGTCACTCCACAGATTGTCTGCAAACGACTTTTCTGTGGACACACCAAAATTTTGCAGGAGTCTGTGGGAACACCCGAAGGATAATAGAACAGGAGGCCCGGGCGAGGAGAATCACTGAGTAAACATCAGCAGCCCCACGCCGAGGGTGGGGAGGAAGAACAATAGTAATTGGCACAAGAACGGTTAAGATATCTATCGATTTCAGCCCATGGAAAAGTAAAGTTTGTTTTGTGGGAATTTTGCTCATTCTTGACCATTTATCATGACCGTAATTTACTCCTTATGTGCCTTTAACCAACTCTCAGTTTATGTGATTTTCCTTTCTGCGCAGTCTCTGTCAAGTTTTAGTATGAACACACACACACAATGTCTTGCACAGCCGAGTTGTTAAAGCCGAGACTGCAGAGATGTGCTCACTCCTTTTTCAAGGGTTCTGTAGAGGAACCGTACACAAAGTGGTCTGTGTTTTGCATACTGCCTTTTGTACCTATGTACAAATACGCAAGCAACTTGCAACTGCACGTGGTTAGTACGCGGATACAACTGTATAACAGAACTGTGCGAACAACACCCAGAACTCACGACAGCATATCCTTTAGCCAGCGTATGCAACTGCAATATATCTAGAATCTATGCATGACCTGAACCAAATCTGCATAGTAGCCTAGCAGTTACTTTCCCAAGCACTTCATCCAATGAAAGCAGAATAGATTTATAGCTGATGAGAGGCTGCTTTCGTGCTTTACATTCAACTACGCTACACGCATACATCCAGTTTTCACAGGACTCAAAACTCTCTTCAAGCATCTTCAACCTACAAGCCGCAGGCCACTGCACCCGTAAGCCTTCACACAAGCAACGCAAACAAGGTGCAAGCGATTCATGGCTGAGTGACTCTACCAAAGCCATCGCACATCATTTTGACGAACTTTCGGGTCCTGGGGAGGATTTGATCCTTTACCTGGCGGTACCTGCAGACGTCGGCGGCGGCAAGTGTCTACCACAAGCTTCTGTCTACTGTGGCGCACTCGAACTTCTTGTGCAAGTATGGCACCTTCTCCAAGACCTTCCAAATTCAAAACAAATCGAGATCTTCCAACTAAACCAACTAGTATGCTGCACATAGCTCTGCAGAGAGGTCTGCAGACAGGTGCCTCGTTCAGGATTGTGGGCTCCTGGAGCTCCATGCACCGCAGCAGGAAGGGTAACAAGATGGCCTGGTGCCAGGCTCAGCATTTAGGGAGGACACAAGACGGACACAAATACATTGAAATTTCATGTTAAACATGACATGTCAGATGACAGATGACATGTCATGCCCGACACGGGAGTCACCTGCGTCTCTGCTGCCGGGGCAAGGGAGACCAATAAATCCAGCTCTTTCAGAAACAGCGTGACCACCTCCCGGGTTTCAACGCATCAGGGACATGCTGCGCTCTGAGAATCGATATGACATGTACATCGTCAAACAGTGCTCTGAGCTCCTCCTCAATGTGACCACTCTTGAAGTAACTACGCTGCGGTGAAACAATGCTTCCTCTTCGCCACTGATCCACGCGAAGCCCTCATTCGCAAGCTGATTATTCACAACAAGTGTCTCTAAGTGTCTCTGACCCCTCCGTACAGAAAGTCCCAGTGCTTCGTCGTTTAACAACGACTACAGCCACAACCACCACGACTACTCCTGGTCTCCATCGGCAGCTCACTCCTCACTGCTGGTCACTACCCCGGGCAATGCTCCCTACCACTCCCTACTACTTCTTCTCCCATTCTTAAAGTGCCACACCAACCTATAGTGCAACCGGACAGCAACATTTTTTGCAATGGCCTCAATCGGAATTTCCTTGGCGCTGAACAGCGGCTTCAAGGCTGGCCACATTTTTGCCTGCGTTCAAGTTGTAAGGGAAGTAGCGGCAAGTAGACAGGTGAGCAGGCTATCCGGCTTGCAAAGCCCTGCGCTTTTTCCTCCGCGGAGAGTTCACAGCGCAGCAGTCATTTTATGACTCCCTTCTTTCCGGAAGCAAAAGCTGCCAAAGCAAGGTCGAAATCTTCCTCTGTCAGGCCACGGGGTGTCCTTACACAAAGCACCCCCGGGCAGCGAGATGCTACATCTGCACAGTTGTCGCTGTAAGTACAATCATCGAAGAAAACCATGTTGTCGTACGACACGCCAGACTCATCTTTCAGCTTTGGAAAGTGCTGCCCTCCTTTGCCTTGCGGATAACACGGCTTTGAGCGTGGGGATGTTTCGGCTTTCTGAGACGGCAAAACAGCGGATAAGAAGCTCAAAACTGTGGGCGAGCGGCTGCCGGGATAGACTTGGCGAAACCTCACTAGATCGCCAACCTTCTCGAATTTGCCCGGGAGGAGCGGAAACTCGTCCAGACATTTGTGGGCAAACGTCGGCTCCTCGTGCGCGAACTGTTGAGGATACCAAGCCCGAAGCAGAACACACCTCATGTCCAGAGACCCCTTGCCATAAGTCCAGACGAGGCACTGTTGTTGAAGACGCCACAGCTATCTGGATTCCTGATAGGGCCGGATCTGTGCAAAGCCGTTGAAGGACAGACTGCGCACCCGGAAACAGTGACACCTCGGATAGGCGGCTGGCACCAAAACGGGCTTGGACTACTTTCTCAAGTGCCACATTCACCTCTGAAAACCATCGAGTACATTTGTTCAAACCGTGCTCCGGTGGCAGCTCCGATTCGGGAACAAGCATCACGAACCTTTACACAGAATAAGCAAAGTCAAAGGACAGTGTCTCTGCCTGCTATCACACCGCCCCGCTTGCTGCAGTATGCAGATGGCGACGCACTCAGTTCGTACATCTCAGGCGTCCATAAACAAGCATCCAAGTCCTTGGCACAGGAGTCTAAAAACTGCAAGAACCATGCATCCAGCGTCACCCAGCGTGTCCAGCCCGTGGATGCAGTTGCAAGTGAGGCTCGAAAACAATCAGCGCAGGGAGCATGATGATGCATTTGCGGCCACTACGCTGCAATAGTCAATAGTCTACACGACTCACCGTCTTGAAAGACGGCTTTGAGGCACGGGTGGGTCCGCACAGGCATGCACTGGCAGAAGTGCCGACTTTGGTATGCGTTTGTGATCGGCAGCAACTCGTGGCATGTGTGTGGCCTGGAAATGCATGGGGTCGGACAGGCGATCCTTCTTCAGCGTGTTGATGATGATAGGTACGGCGACCTCGGCTTATCCACAGACGAACTGCAAAGAACGGACATGGCAAGGCATTTGTGACAGCCCAAGTGCCGAACACCATAGAGCGATGGGAACAGCAGCGCACCTTGGCACCACAGACCCTGTCGTGCAATTGAGGAGTCCGGGCTTCGCGAGGCAAGACGGGCACATACACACAGTCTAGCATCAAGCCACAGCTCAACAAACAGATGCTTGTCGGCTAAAAGGCTGTGTGCTGCAATCAGCTGCACAAGCGATTCTTCTGAAATACGACGGTGAGACAGACTCATGGTGAAACAGACCTATTCGGGTGAGACCGACATTATCAACATCGCAAGGGCTTGGCCACTTCTGCCGCAAAACATGCTGCAAAGAAAGCCTCAGCTTGCGCTAATCCTGGCTAATCTTCGGGTCCTTCCACGCAGTCACAGGAATGTGAGTTTCTGAAACTGTGCAGAGAAACCTTTGCAACCAGCTCACAGCCACCGTCCTCGTGGCCACAGGGACCCAGGGAGATGCAGGCCACATCATAGACCTGCGAATGGAGAACGATGGAGAAGGACGGAGAACGAAAGACATCGAAAGACAGCAACAGACAGCCAAAGACTGCCAAAGACAGCCTCCCCGGTCCGCTCCCGCGCCTTGCGGTAGTTGATGACCAGTCGGGGATCGTCCGGCGCGAACTCTTTGGCAGCCTCGAAGAGCCGAGAGCCGAGCAGCAAGGACACCATGAAGCCCGCCCAGAAAACTTTGAAGCCTTTGAAGCCTTTGTTGAAGACCCTTTGAAGACTCTTTGAAGACTCTTTGAAGCCTTTTTACGGCCTTTGAAGCCTTTAAAGTGCTCCTGACCGCCGCCAAGGTCATGCTACGGCTCTTTGGTTGCCAGGCATGCTCGATTTTGCGGCCTGCGCGTGAGATGGCTCAGAGATGACTCAAAAGCCATGACTCAAGCCAGGAAGTGGGATACCAGCATCGCACAATATCCTTCAACGGCATCTTCCGTCTGCAATGACCGTGCAATGCGAGCAGCGTGGGGGCTCAGGGCAACCTTCGCTTCGAGCCAGGCAGCAACGCCAGGTGCGTGTGAAGCCCATCTGCCAGTGCCATTCACGTGATGCAATATCCTTGAACATAGGACTCGAATAGCCGACTCCAACAACTCCTTCGACCACTCCGGCTCAAAAGGCAGAGGAAGGGACTCCACCTCTTCCAAGGCGTCGGGGGCAACCCAGCGCGACATGTCTGACAGATAGTCCGTACTGCCGTGGGCTGCCGTCAGCACATACATGTTCGTAAAAAGCAATGGCTCTTTCTCTGTCTCAATGCGGTGTAGAAAGGCTAGAAGTGGCATGGACGGCCAGCCATCAATCTCCTGGCGTTGCGGTGTAAAGTATGGTAGCCAGCGATCTGCCACGCCTTGGCTTCCTGGTGGAATTCGGACGCCAGTAACTTTAAGGCCCGCTGCTGCCAGGAGCTCCTCTAGCTGTGGAAGTTCGAAGACATGCTCCACAGGGTGCAGCAGGAGATCTTCAAAAGTACTACGCGAGCTTATGGAAAATTCAGACAAGAACTCTTCACGGAACCTGGCCTCCTCCAGTGTCATTTCTCGTCCGAGTGCTGCTGTGCCAGTACTTGTGAGCCATGTTCGGAACTGTTCGTAGCTGGCATCTCCGGCTAAGTCCCTAATCACCGGGATGCTGCGTCTGGCCATGCGGCTGTATAGGCCAAGAATTAATGTGCCTCCAGGTGCAAGCAATCGCTTCATGGCGGCAAACCCAGCAGCTGGTTCGGGAAGATGATGGAGCACGCCTACGCTTTCTATCACATCGAACTGCCCCTGTAAGGTGGTAAGGTCACACTGCCAGAGAACAACATTGCGGATATCCAAAGCAAGCAGCTGTCTTGCAGCCACTTGCAGGGAGCGTTTGCTGAGATCGACTGCCACAATTTCTTCAGGATTGAAGTGCTGCAGGTGTGCCAGAACGGCTTTGCCTGTACCAACACCAGCAATTAAGGTTCGCTTTATGCTCTTCCTTTTCTCGCTGGCCATGAATCCGAAACGCCTCCACGATGGGTACGGATGGGAGCTGTACAGCTCTTGAATGCTTGGTTCCTCCGCAACTTTCCAATACGGACAGATTTCTATGCTCTCTTGCTCTTCCCATTCGCGCTCAGATTGAAGTGCCTCTGCTCTGGGACATCTGGAAGTCATGATCTTCGCAGGGAGAAACATTGCCCGGACAAGCGAGTCTGAGGTTGACGACAGAGCAAGATGTTCCTCTGCATCGACTGGCCAGGAAAAGTTGTTCAGGAGAGCTTGCGCAGCAAACGCACACCGCAAAGTGACCTTCGTCATCGCTTCTTTTCGGTGCTTCCGGAAGACTTGCTCTAATCTGGGACTGAAGTCATGGTGGCTGTAAAGAACCTCGGCGGCAAGAGCATCATCCCAGTGGGACAGGAGAAACTGACCGGCGTTCCAAATTGCCCTGTCCCATGCAACTGTGTGTAGGTCTTCCTGCGAGCGCAGCACCTCAAACAGTTGAAGCGCTTCGGGAAGCGCATCGGGAGCTGGTTTCAAGTCTGGCTGCCCCCGCCAGCGCTCGAAGAGAGCCCTTGGCTGCTCTGACCTCTGAATCTTGAGCAAGAGCCTCTTCTCATGCTGCGCCAGCAGCTTTAGGTCGGGCTGTTTTGCTGCTGACATGACCAAGGAAGTGTTTTTCAGCGCCTCGTCAACGAAATTGCCTGATCCTTCTCCGAAGTACTGTTGGAGCTGCAAGCGATCATGCAACCGTACCATGCAGTGAAGTCTTGAGCAACCTGGCGGAAGCCAACTCAGGGAATCATGTGGAGTCTCAGCCGGTACAAAGCCATACTCACGCAGAAACGTCGCGCTCGTGCGAAGTTCGGGTTTCGAGACATACTCTGTCCACAGGAACTCGTCCGCTTCGATCTGCTTCAGCGCCGTGCAGACAAACGAGCCATTGAGACCCCAAGACTCGGAGCCGTATCGAGTCCTGCAATCGACGTTGGGCTCTGGGTCCCTGTTGATCATATCCGCCAAAGGTACCAGGCCCCAGGTGCTGCGCCATTCGCCCTCCTGTGTACGCAGTCTGACTGCGTGACCCCGGCTGCGGAGGATGGCATGAGCCCAGCGGTAGCCATTCTCAGAGCCACGGTAGTCATGCTCGAAAGACTCAAAAGCTTCCAGCGATGTCTTGGATATCTCGTTTAGGACACTGGATACCCGATGCCAGCTTTGCAGCACTTCATCCAGTGCTGAATGCAAAAGGCCTCCTGACACAAGCCGATCGGCCAGTTCCCAAGTGTCGTCGTCGTAGAAGAGTGGGTGATGGGAGAGATCGTTTGGCAACAGCCGCATCATAGTTGCTTCTCGTTGCGGGTCACTCGCATAAGCAGCAAGAGTTGCTGCTAGGATATCCGAAGAGGAAAGGTCCACTCTGTCTGTAAGCAATCGTCCTATGTTCAGGCTGGCCAGAGTCTCGCTGCAAAAGACATGCCGCAGAGGGACACTCAAAATCTCGTCGCCCCGCAGGTAGGCCACGCCTGCTTGCAGCCCTCGTCCATAGGTGGATGTATTGACAATACGAACTTGACCGGCGAAGCCTTCTTCCAGTAACCAGTCCGGCAGAGCTTCTATACCGTGAAGACACAAAGCAAGAACCCGCCAACGAAACATGCTGACAGAAAAGGTTCCAGACGACACGTTGAGTATCCGAACTATTTCTAAAGAGGGCAGTCAAACAATGGCAGGGCCGGGAAGCAGAATGCGGTGGGTCCAAGTTTAGCTGAAAGCCGCAAGCATCATGTAAGATACGACCTACCTGTACCCCAGGATGAACATTGAGGAACTCGACACCCACGAATGATGGTGAGGAGTATGGCCCACGTGTCATGAAGACGCCAACAACATGCACGTGTCCGTGCAGCTCCCTCCTGCCTCGAAGTCCTCGGCAGCCTCCTCGTACATGCTCTCTGCCTGTTTGCATGATCATTGCAAGTCTAAGCGCCGCAAGCTGCACCTGCCTTGAAGCTGAAAGCACGGCGAAACCTCAGAACAAAGCGCATGAAGCAAAGCGGCGGACATGGTTTCCTAAGGATGCTGCATGGCACGGGCATTTGTTGGCTGCAAGTCAATCACTCTGGAGAAATCATCCAGCGCACGCTTGTGCCTCACAACAGGTTCAATTCATCCTTTTCCAGCAGAGATGAACTGAGATCAGGGCTCGCCGATTATTTGCAAGCTTTTCGCGCCTTTGCTCGGCAAGTCTCTAGCCATCGTCAAGCGAAGATCAGAAAGGCCAGCCCACAAGGAGGGACTTGAAAAGGCCATGAATATCCATGAGTTCTGCCCCCCTTACAATGAAACTTCCACGAGTTCTGAGATACGCTGATTTTCTGAGGCTTGGTCGCTCATGCAGGTAATGGGGGTGGTCACCCTTTGCAAGGCCAATGGCCTGGTCGTACACCGGAACCGCCTGAAGTGTTGCAGGGATACCCGGGGCTGCTTTGAATGCTTTTGATTTGCCTCTGCCAGAAAGCACCTCTCAGGGCTGTCAGATTTTTTCAAGGCTCTGGCAAGTTGGTGCTTGCCAAGGTTGGCGTAGGAAACACCTGCCAGGCTGCCAGGCTGCAAAAGCAGTTACGATGCAGTTTAAGCGATGCTCGGGGACTCGAACTGCGATACTCCCCAGAGCCTAGGTGGTAGTAGACCTCCGCCTCATGCCCCGGTATTGGTCCCTGGCGCACTGGGTGCAGTGGTCAGGTGACGCTATTGAAGTTGTTGTGGCACAGCTGAGCTCGGTTGGTGTTCTGGCTGCCTGCGACAAGGCGGCTTTGAGGTCAGCTATCGACCTCGGTTCAAGACTTGGTGTCGCTGCGCGAGGATCCTTTCTTCACAGTCCTGTATTAAACTGAGACAGGATGCTCTGCATAGTGCCGCTGCGCATAGCGAGTGATGCCACGCCTGAACAGGAACTCTCTTTGCCGTATGGCCTGCGAATAAAGATTGCTGCGTGCCGAATCTCCGTACCTGTAAAGCAACTCGGCATCGCGACCATCAATCTGAAGAGCTCGGCTCAAATCGGCCTTCAGCGGAAGCAATAGTTCTACGATTTTCTACTGTTTCCCACGCCCCCAGCCCGCCTCAGCTCTGTCATACAGCCCCTGTTCAAAAAGACATTGCCTGAAGCCATGACACCAGCAACAACACTTTCAAAATGGACACCGACACCGCTACCACCACAAGCGCACAACAAAATCCAAGCTGTCTCAGGTCTCAGCGCACGGTTTGACAAGTATAGCGTCTGGGTGCCATCTGCTTCAATGGCTGCCGTGAGGTCGATCACAGCCTGCACACACGTCAGCTGTGGGGGCTCGAAGCTGCTAGAACGTTGTTGTGGGAAGCATTGTAGTTGTTGTAGTTGATTGACCTGCGCCATGTTTCCAAAGGATCTCCACGCTAGGCCACGTTCGCTGAAGACTGCGGCCTCCCAAAGATGCTATTACTGACATGTAAGGAGCTGTGAGCATGGGAGGGTTGTCTCAGAAGCGCGAAATGTTTGCCTCCGTGCTGCCAAGATCGATCGCCCTGGACAGATCCTCGATGGCATCCTGCTCACGGCCTTGAAACTTCACAAGGAAAAACTCAGAACTGCCCAGACTCCACACACTTTGTTTAAGAACTTGACCCATGCGGTGGTAGACAACGCCGCGGTTGTAGTAGTGCCTCCCTCTCTGGGGCTCCAAGTCAATCACGGCATCGAAATCTACCAAAGCGGTCCTTGGCCCCAGAAAGCCAGTTCACACGCTGTACTCACATGGCCAGTTCACATCAGTTCAACATTGGAATGCCATGTGCGCTGTGATGCACAATGCACACGGGCCAATCCAGAAACGTGGTCAACATCGTGAGATGGATGTCCACATGCGCAAACTCTGAGGTCCAGTCTGGTAGTCTCCCATATCCCTGTACACCAAGCCACGGGCCTTTGACCAGCAAGTTGTGCAAAAATTGCTCAAAGCGGCACGAACTTTCATCAGCAAGTTGAATCTGTCGACCTCGTGCAGAGCTTCGTCCGGCGGCACGCCGCCGTTGAAGGCCTCCAACGCGCCTTGCGTTGAATGAAAGCTGACATGCTTCATTTCAGGCATCTTTCACCCAACTTGGAGACCATTTTTGCCTTTTTGCCGTCGAAGTCAGCCGCAAGACTTCTGCTGCCACTTAGCAACAAATTTGGGTTCACACCTGTGCTGCCGATGCCAACGATTGACCTACACTTTCCTGCGGCTCACTTTAGCCTTGCCTACAGTTACAGCGACACTCCTCTTCGGTGTCTCTGCGCGTGCTCGCTTCGATGTCCTCCCCGATACATCCCCAGAGCCGTGAGATCGTTGTGTTGCCAGCTCCTGCAGCTGGGAGGAGATTCTTTTTCCACCTTTCCCGAGACGGGGTTTGGCATCCGCCATGAAGGTCGACAGACCTTTCCTTAGTCTTTGCTTGGCGAGAAAAGTCCGGAAATTTGCCGCGATACCAAAGCCGTCCGGATAAGGGTTCATAGTTCGAAGGCAGAGGGTGTATATAGTTGCTGCTGGCCCTGAGCCCTGAATATCCCTATATCCCTGAACTGTCGCGCCAATGAGCGCAGACTTCGACATTGCGCGGTTAGGGTCAGCTCAGAAAAAAAAACACCAAAAGATCCCGCAAACAGCGTATACAATGGCATGCACAGAAACACAGAAACACAGAAACACAGAAACACATGAACTTAAGCAGGCTTAGCTCGCCTGGGACTGGGCAACTCCAAGGGTTACTGACACTTCCGCTTCCCCCTCTTCCAGGGCCCCCTGAAGCTCCCCTGAAGCTCCCCCTCTGCATGCCAAGTCTACATATGCACTGCAAAAAGCTTTCTGGACCCCTCAAGTGTCTTGAGCGTCTTTGTGACAGCATCTCCGCCAGCGTCCAAGCGATTCTTGGGCGTCGGTCTTCGCAGCAGACTCTCTCCTTCGACAGGGCATGGCGCATGGATGTATGCAAACTACGGAGCAGAATTCTAAGTGTGACCGTACGAAAATGGCACGAAGAATGGTGATGACTTTTGGACTATTATAGTCTGCTCCGAGCATCCGTGCACTTCCTCGTCCTCAGCATCCAAGGCTTTCTCAAGGGCTGAAATCCTCGGTGGGACGATGAACAGCTTGGCTTCAAACAAACCGACCAAGTTGAAACTTTAACCACAAATATCTCTTGTGGCAGTCCAGCATCCAGAAATCCTCGAAGTCTTCTTGTGAGCTGAAGAAGGAAGGGTCACAGGCTCCGTCCTCGACGCACGTCGGCCGCGGAGCTTTGCTCTTGCACCGGACCCGTCGACGCACCGGGAGAAAGCTGGGCTCCGTCGGCATCGGAGGCTCCAGTTTCGACGCCGAGGCGTCGGACCCCTCCTTGGCCTCCTTCGCCTCCTTCGCCGGCCTCACCGGCACAGACTGAGATTGGGTGCATTTGGTGGGCGACCGGGCTCGGTCCCCGCACTCGGACTCTGAATTCTCTGGCTCCCTCAACTCCTCAGGCTCCCTATGAAAATATGAAGGAAGTGATGGAAGTGATGCATCGAAGTCCGCCTCCAAGAATGATGTCGCAGCTTCCCTCAGCTCCAGTAACCCAGCACTGGGTTTTGTCTCTGGACAGGCTGATGGCAGCCCTCCGATACGACAAGTTCTTCGGAGCAAGCTCCCGCGCGAAGCTTGCGAAGCTTGCGAAGCTTCTTTTCTCACCTCAATTGATTCCGGCGGCTCCGGTGCGGTCACGGCGGTCACGTCATTCTTGTCCAAGGTTGGAGGACAGTCTCCCAGGCTCTGTACATGAAGGCCCTCTTGACTGCTCGAAGCAGCAAGGAAGCTGTCTGCCAACTCCAGCGCTCCCGAAAGTGACTTCACCGAGGAGTCCACATTGTCTTCCAGGCCATCTTGCTCCGAGTGCGTACTGGCATCTGGAGGTGAGCCTGAATCGGCTGAGCCAGACTTTGCCGTGCACTTCCTGCGCAAGAGACCGAGTTGTTGCATTCACACACTCAGGCGTCAGGCACGCCCTGCTTTGCAGGCATGTCCATGAAGCTGGCTGCCAGTCTGCGCACAGAAACCTACAGCGCACTGGCTCCCACCCCCTGAGCCCACAAGCTGCAGTCGACGCAGGAACGGCCCACCCTTGTAAGTTACAGTTACAGATTGCTGCTACACATGAAGCAACCCTGTCTGCCTCGATCAGAGGCAAGCTTGTTGGAAGGCTTCGAAAGCTCATGAGTGACGCAGCGAGCATCTCAACGACTACACGACTAAGCAGCTCACGCTCGTACTGCCCGTCCGCGTGGCACATGATACCAAGGTGAAACCTCAAGGAAGCACAGATTTGTTAAAAATGCATGGAGAAACAACCAACAAAACGAGCATTTTGCGCATGACGAGAGTCTCTGAAGTTTTTTCGCTTCCCAGACCCAAATTGTTTCTTTTCCGCCTCCCATCATACGATTGCCCGATTCGCCGACTCCTCCATCCTCCTCCTCTCTCACTTCTCACTCAGTTCGGAAAAGGCTTATTCTGGCGTCCGGGCAAATCATGGCTCCAGATTTGGCTCTGTAAGGAGACGACCGAGAAGGATGATGACCCGCGTCTCTGCGCAGTGCCTCAGGTGCAGCAGGTCGTCCCTACTTTGAGCCCAAAGCTGTCCCATCCCAATTGTCCAAGCCTCTTCATAGCAGGCGATGGCCTCCCGCACCTCTCCACAGCCCTGATAGGCGAGCCCCTGGCCATCACACTGTCACTCTGGGCATCTATGGGCACCCCAGATGCTGCGATATGCTGCGTGCAATGCAGCGCCTTGTGGTGCAAGTAGGTCGCGTTGTCAGGCTCAAGCTGAATGGCTTCGGCATAGTCATCAAGGGCCTGGCGCTCAAGCATTTCTGGGACATCTGGCGGGGGTGTGCTCGCAAAAAGGAAGCCTCCTGGTGCTGTCCCAGTTGGAAGTAGGCATTGCCACGATTGAAGAGCACCTGACTCTTCTACCATTTCTACCATATGAGGCTTGTGGACGGACAGCTTGTGACAGCCCGTACCAGCGGGCAGGCAGCCGGGCTCGCAGCAGAGGCATTGTCGGGCTCTGCCTTTCAATCGAGAAGCCATGCATTGACACATCAACTGTAACTGATCCCGGCCTCAAGAGCTGCTGTGAAGTCGGCAGCAGCATCGGTGTACCTGCAGGCTGATATCACTGAAGCATCTGCTGGCGTTCGGATGCCTCGCATTTTAAGACCGAGCTGAGCTAAGTGGCAAACTCTTCCAAGTGGTAACTTGCCAGACCGCGATTGTTCAAGTACCTGCAAGGACGGGTACAGTTCATGAACAAGGAACAGAGCCCGCGTTCAGTCATTGGAGAAAGAGCCTTTACACCTACCGTTTCAGGAAAGGTCAAGAGTCATGTTGCAGCTGGCAGGCTCGAACGCACCCGACTGACTACAAGCAGTCCAAAAAACCTATGTTCTGGCAATGCTGCCCAGGCCTGGCACATGCATCTAGTTCGACTGCATTCGCAAAGCACTTTCTCGCTTCTTCCTTACATGGTGGCAAAATCGCAGCAACAAGACAATCGACCTGCTCGTCACAAGAAGCTACAGCTCAGGGTCGCACGAAGTTCTGCTCTTGTATGTGAGACAGGCCGAGGTGATTATGTGCGTCTGCGCTGGTCTCGGTTGAAGGGGTTACTGTGGCACAACTGTTCACGATGAATCGCCCAATACTCGCGCTTGAGATATGTTAGTACAAGACAATACAAGTACCTTCAGTGCTCAGTTCGCCGCCGTGTCCAGGTTGATGGCCTCCTTCAAGTTTTGAATGGACTCTGCAATCTGCCCAACCTTGGCAGGACACTGCTCAAAGCCACAAAGAGACCCGCGAGCCCCATCTCTGGACTCTGCTTGCACTTCCTGGAGCCAAGCTCTTCGATAGCAGATTCCGCGATGAAAGAAGGCCTGACTCAGTCACCCAGTCAGATGCACCGAACTTTCACGTAGAGAAAACTTCCACAGCTAAGGGTGGAGCCTTGTATGGCGCGGCCAAGCGCTTGTCAAGAGCCTGAGCAAAAATCTCTGCAAAAGACCTCAGACTGCACTCCGAGACTGCATCGGGCCTGAGAAAAACCTTCAATCGCCTTGTCGTAGAGCTCTAAGTCAATGTGCACCAACCTCAGGCATCCCTGCAGTACACTCAGTACACCAAGAAAAGCACATCCACAAAGCAAAACACTCCTACTGCACGTATTGCACGTCAACAAAACGGACACCTTGCATTGGCAGCTGTGGGGTCTGGACGCCCGCTCGAAGTAGTACTCGGCAGCCTGTGACCACGACTCTCTGCACCAACAGTTTGAATGCTTGTGGGCATGCATTCGCCTGCCGCTGGTGCGTTTCAGATGGGTCTTTCTCCGCCTTTAGCCTCTCAAGGCCTCAAAGAAGGCAAACATAAGATGTGAAAGACGATGACATGACCAGCCCCATTATGCATGAAAGGATGCAACCTACTAGGCTACGAGCGGAGTGCTTCGTCATAGTCTTTTAGGGCTTCCTCAACAATCAAGGCAAACTGTGTCCACATTAGTTGCACGGCGCTGGTCTCTGTGATCCCGACATCAACGCGACCCAGGCGTCTGAAGCACTGCCCTCGATGCGCAAAGTGTCGAGCAATGCCTCCGATCGGAAACTTTCGCAAGCGAATCTTCCTTCAATTCGCAAGATCCTTGCCTGGTTCTAACCTGCAGCACACGACGAAGTCCCCGAGAGCTCGCAAGTACCTCGGCAAATTTTCGTGATGTGAGCAATGTCTCAAATTAAACAATGCGTTGAGCCACTGAAACTGTTCAGGAAGCACTGAGGCGGATTTGGCGATCATTGGCCTTCTTGGCATAGTTTGGGGCATAGGCCCAACCACAGAGATCCACTTCTTTACTAGATCAAGCCATCGGATCAATTCATGCCGACAAAATCCTCGTCCGACATTTTCATCAATCAGAAGTGTCACTCTCTCAGTTGCGATTCAACGCTTCGAACAAGTTCCTGCATGCAGAGGCTCGACTGTCCTGTGGATTGTGCTGCCCGTGGCGATAGGAAATGCAGGCGTATGCACTTGTGCAAGATCCTAGCTCCAAGACCACCTACGGCGCCCGCTCAAATCCGACATCCGCCACTTTGAATCCCGTCGTTTCAATTGTTTGAGGCTCGGCACTGCTGCACAGCGATGTAGCAGCGGCCACGGGCCTGAAACACTGGCTGTGGGTTGCTCAATGCAAAGATGCTGGTACCAGCCTGGTAGTACTGTGCGTGGTGGGGACGAAGCGAGATGGCCTCGCACCAGGTGCACAGTCATCGACCTGTGACCGAGTCTCAGAGTCATGTCCGACCTCAGTGAACAGCTGGGAACAAGCATCGTACTCCGCTACCGCCTGATTGCGGGATGTGCGGCAAGCATCGACAAGCGTCAACAAGGGTCAACACGTGTCAACAGAGGCTCCGGTGTCCAACTCCCTGGCCTGATCGCCGACAGCAGCCTGCAAACCGGAGCAGCTTTGGGCTTGGCCCCGACATCATCAGGACCAGGTTTAAGACTGAAAATACCGATGTAACATTTAGGCTTCGGCATGACTTTCATCTTCGGCGATTCGGGCGCCTGCGCTTTTCGAAGCTGCTGCTGGCCTTGCCGAAATAACTCTGCTGCCTGCTTTTGCCTCGATCGGGGCAACGTGGTCAAACATGTCTTTTTGCTACAGCTCCTGGGTGCCCAGCTTACTTTTCTCATCCTCCTTCTCATGACCTCCATGCCTGCACGGCATTGCAGGGCTACATCACTCACACTCCGTGGTCTATGGCAAATCTGCCAGTAGCAACGATGAGCGCTGAGATCGAGGCTCCTTCATTCATTCGCTCTGGATAGCTCCGGACACCAAAACACGTGACGTCTGTCTTGTAAACTAACGCTTGCTTGCGCTCAAACTGACCAGTTGTACTTAAGCGGGAAATTGACTCACTGCACTGCGGCTTGTGCAGATACACTTTGCCAAGAGCTCGTCGACACAAAACATGTAACCCATCATGCATTCATGCATGACTCTCTTCATCGTCATGCCAGGTTTTCTGAAAGCTGTAAGAACAAGCGGCGTGAATCGCTCCATGCTTCTCATGAGGAACCCTCAAGCAATGACATTTGCTGCCAGGTTCAACAGTCGAACATGTAGCTTGGTTCTCGACCACACAGTCTGGGAAGCACCTGCGCACACCCCGAGCATTCAACTCAAAACTTCCATGAAACACTCCTTGGCTAGAGATGTCAATGTCCTGACAAGACCAACGCCCTGAAGACGCAAGGTCCGCAACTTTCTGTGGGACCCGGACTCTCTCGCGCATGACCCGCTGACTGCAAAGGGGACTCTTTGTGTCCTGGCTGTTACGAGGGTGTGTTGCAAAACCGACAACTCATGATTTCATGGCATCTCATGACACGTGAGTTATCCTGCAAAAGCTTTGGCAGTCCGCGAAGAAAAGTCACCCGCTGTGCCTGTTCAGGTACACGATCCAGAGACATCAAAAGCTCTCCCATGTTGCAGTGTAATCAGCCTCGTCCTTTTCATTGAGTTGTTCTAAGAATCGAATTGCTCGAACCTCGTGCTGAAGCAAACCATAAGACATCGAACTGGATGACTTCGAACAATCTGTGTCCCTCACGTTCACATCCATGAAAAACTCCGAGTTGATGAAGGCCTTCAGTGCAGAATTCAGTGGAATTCAACAGAACTCAGCAGAATACACCGACAACCCAACACGTGCTGAGATGTGGCGGCTTGTGGATTCGACTCCCGACGATCTCCCAAGTACAAGGCTGCGATTGTTAATCTTTCGGATGGGTTGGGACCTCGGAGGGCAGCATCCTGATGTTTCTTTCCCAGGCTAGAGTGACTTCAAAAGCGCTTCGCAGTACCTCAGCTCATGGCTCAAAAGCTTCAGGAGGATGGGATAAAGCTCTGGAGGAACAGCTTGCTGTCGAACGACACTGGTGTTGAAACCTGGCAAGAAGGTTCTGCAACAAGCATGTCACGAACTCAGGCACTTGACTCTCCTTGCCTCGTGGAGCAGATCTCAGCAAGGGCTGCCGGTCCACGCACATGAGCTCATACCTGTAGACCAACGACAAATCACGACTCAAAAAGGGGGCTCATCCTGTGTGTCTACGTGCTTTTCTGCATGGCACCGCATTTTTCCGATACAGTCCACTCTGGGACTGAAAAGGGCTGCAAGATGCTGCAGGCCCTGGGGTTCAAAGCGCTTTGGATGCAGATGCCACTGTACAAACCTCCTTTCAAGTATATGGATCCAAAGTGGACCTACTAAAGATCCTGGACTAAGGCCCAACATGGCATAAGGGATGCATTCAAAGCTGCATACGGTGATCGCGTCTGAAGCTCAGACATTGATCAAGTCACTAACGCTGGAACACCTGTGTGATGGCCTTCGCGCTGGCCTTCCAGGATGTAGCAGAACTTGTGGAGAAGGGAACTATGTAGCAAACAAAAGTATCTCCAAAACAACATTCCGTGCCTCAACAAGCGGTTCTCCAAATCCAGCTCCATCTCAGATTTCTGCCTTGTCTTTTTTGCGTTTCTTCTTATCTTTTTTCTTATCTGTCGAAGTGGCAGCAGCCAGGACCTCTTCGCCAAAAGACCTTCAACAGTTGCAAAAATCAAGGCAACTGCAGCGTACAATGCTGTTCCAGCCTCCACTGGCTCACAAGCTTCATTGCGAAGGAGACGCTAGTAATTCTTGCCTCCATGCGTGTCGGACATGAAGGAATCGGCAGCCACGTGCACGGCTGCAAACACACATGCAGCAACTCCTTCTCAATGACTTGTGACAGCTCATCTTCAACCTTAGGGCAACAGCAATCTTTACAACGGGAACATCCTTGCATCAGCACAGACGCTCAAGCTCTGGCCGGTCTGTAGCAATGTGGCACTCCTCCTTGAACGTGCTCATCGTGACAACACCTTCACATCATGCACTGGATCCTGATGCTGTTAGGCAAAACGAAAACCTCTTTGCCATCACGAGATGCAACATGATGCCTAACTAGTTTGTATCCGACGGCGGCGGAGAAGCCAAAGTACCACCTGGCACAGTAACAGTGCAACCAGTAAAAGTTGCTGAAACCTAACGACTGCTGTCGCTGGTCGTTTCGCAAGCTCTTACAGCGCATGATAAGAGGGCAATGCATGTCCAGGCAGCACAGGAAGAGATGCGGGCCCATAGCCCGAAAGTAGCCAGCTGGCAAAGCCTCCAGCTTAAGCGCAGGCTGTCATTGCCGGATGAGGCAAAAAGGAGCGGGCGGCAAGAACAGCAGCACAACCCACAACAACAACAACTGCAGCAGCAACAACGACGCAAAAAGCAAACATGAGAGAGTCCAGCCTACAGTGCCCAGCTGTGAGGCCAGCTTCGACCATCCTAGCATAACAAGCACATGCTCCTCTGCAGACTGAGAACTGCAAACAGGACAAGGCAACCGCGCTTTCGCAAGCATAGCGATGCGTAGCTATCCATAGCTGCTTTAAGAAACCGAGGGCTAGTGAGGCGATTTTTGCCACTACAGCAACCAACATCGCAACTTGCAGTTACAGAGACACAGCTCCACAAGACATCGGACTCTCGAAGCACCGGAAGTAATCACCCACAGAGGCGAGGACGCTTGAAGCCTGGAGCAGTTAGCACCGTCTCCACGGGCCCCGGCCTCCGAGCACACAAGACAAGCTACAGTACGTGCCTTGCGTCACCTTGCCGTGCCGCTGATGTACCATGCCCTACATTGCCCTACATTGCCATACATTGCCATGCATTTCCATGCATTGCCATACCCCCCGCTGGAAATGTTGGGAGTCACGCTTGGCAGAGGTTCGGAGCCATGTCAGGTAGCTCGGCCTTGTCCAGCGACAAAAAAACAGCTTCAAATCGTCAAGTCGCGGTTCGAAGCTATTGTGTCGAAGTCTTAGGACTCTCAAGGTTGGTGCAGGGTAGATCGTCGAATCTCAAGTTCAACGGTCTTCTCGCTGGTACGAGAAAGTGCCTCGGGCTGTAAAACAGTGATAAAATGATCGACAGAGCTTCTGCTGCCACTCAGCATAGCATATCCGAGGATTCAGCATCTGTCAGGCCCTTGCTGGAGCCATCAACCTGTCAATGCTACCCATCCAACGCCACTTCTTGTAAGCCAATGATGGGCCTTGGCAAGAGCGTCACCAACCATCACCCGTTGAGGTGAATCTGACGGAAGCTGCGAGTTGTGGTCTTGCCTGCAGATCGCTAGCAAGGAACCATCTCTGAACAGTGGTAGACAGTCGGCGCGCTGGTCAGAAGCAGTACTGAACAAAGCTTTGGACACTGCGCCATCACTGATGGATTGCACGAGGACGAGATCCCCCTGCAGTATGCAAGCACATGCATGTGCGCGAGAAGGCTGCGGCAGATGCGGCAAAGGCCTTGCCGGTGTCTGGCTTGACCTCCAGACCCAGCTTCGCACCTTTCTTCCGAATGACCTTGATGGTCTTCTTGTCCTGGGTGCAGATTTTCGCTGCTGAGAAAGCCTCCAGGTTCAGAAGCCTCTGTGACTCGCGCTAGCTTGCCACCGCCTAGGCGTTTCTGTGTTCATCATCGCTTTGCATCGCTGCCGAGTCTTGTGTCGTGCTGAGCGCTGGACGACTTGTGAAGCAAGACGCGGTCATGCAACTGGGCAGTGTCCAATCAGCAGGAACAAAAGACTCTAATGGAGCTGGTAAGAGTATCATCAAGCAAAGCTGTCCAAGATCATGGCTATGACGGGCTAATGCCAGAAAACCCGCAATCTCTTCTGGCTTTTTCTTCCACCTTTGACATCACGACCAGTTGATGCAGGCTGGAAGAACAACCACGTGACCAACACCCCACAAACCTAACTTGGGGCAGTCCTGGCACGGGTCATAGAAGACCATGATCCAACAGCCTGGCGAATGCCCATTGAAGCAGAACTATTTCAGCATGCGAATGCTATGGGCAGATTTCTTGGTCTCCAACAGAAGCCCACGAAAGCCATGAAGAATATGATTCGCCTGTCAATGTGCAGCATGAAAGGGAAAAGGAACGAGAAAGATAAAGCGAAAGAGAAAGATGAAGAGAAAGAGAGAAATTGATAAATAAAAATGATTTGCAGAGGAGGACACACCACTCAAGGCATACACCCTGGACAAGTCGTAGCTCTCTAGCCGCGACGATCAAAGCATCCGCAACAAGACTGCTGCTAATCAGATAAGGTGTTCAGAGAAGGAATACCGGCATTTCTGTCCGCGAACAAGTCCGAGAGACTTTGCTCAGCTCCAAGCAAGGTCGAAGCACTGACTGGGCCACGTTAGTCTTGTTCCAGGCGCTGGGCATGCTGTGTTGAGCGGGGCTCGCGTCCTGGCGCTTGCTCTCCGCAACAGCCGTTCCCTTGGGCAGGATCTCTCGCGGGCTCACGGCTCGCGTGCGTCCTTGCCCTGGCCCCAGACGAAGCAGTCAAGAAAAACACCTACACTCTGTAGACTCTGCAGACTCTCTACAAGAAGTGCAGGCCCGATCTCATGTCACGTACTGCAGAGAATCCTTAGCTTTGGAAGTGGAGGCTGCCTGACACACTGAACCCGGCACATGGAACAACAGGCCGCCGACGAGTTGAAGAGCTGCACGTCGATGCCGGTGGCAGCATTGGCCTGAGTCGGAAGTCAGCTGCCAAGCCACCGCGCGCAGAGTGACGAAGTACACAAGAAGAAAGGAACAGAAAGGAGAAAGATGGACAAAGTGCGGATAGGGTCGGACAGCGCAAAGAAATTTATGGCCCTTATCCGGCGACCGCCGAAGCCTCAGGTTGATAGGTACCACCCCCCCCCCAACTGACACACCAATACATTCTCAAGCCTGTGGAGCACCGCGCCCGCCGCACCACTCCACTATCAAGTCCGTGGACTACCACGTGAGAGGCTCTATGGACTTTGTTGATCCGTTGGGTTAGAACTGACCCCTGATCATCCTTTTTTATTCTGCTATATGCGGGTTTCCGACAATGGGGGTGCCTATCTTGGGTGTTCCTGTAATGAGGATTGTACTAGTTTTGCGAATACATTGCGTATACAAACGGTTACCCCATTTGGAAACCCTCAATATGAGGACCCCCAGAAGAGGAAAAGGGGGAGGGGAGTGGACATGTGTAACCCGTTTTTTCAGTTTGGCCCTATGTTGGGGGGTGGGAGGGCGGACTTTGCCAGTAGGGACTCTGCCAGGAATCACGGGCACCAATTTTTGCTGCCCCTGCGCTGCCCCAAGCAGGGTGCAAGGAAGAGGGACTCTACTCTCCCTACTGACTTCCTATCCCCGCTTCTATTTCCAAAACCCACCCTCCTGTACATGTTTCTGTAGAAAAAGCATCCACAAGAAACTGCATCATGTCTCCATGCTACATCCCGTAATGCCTCCAGATGATATCCCCACACCCCCCACAACTCAGGAACTGCTTCTGCAAAAGCGACCCTCGGCCGAGGCGGGTCGCAAACCACTAAAACCAATGTGAATATGTGCCTACTAGCAATGAGATCCGAGCCCGCGGCGGCAGGGCAGGCGGAGCATGCAGCATAAACACGGCATAGTTCTGCCCAGAAAGACAGTGCGCTTCGTGGTCACGTCACACACACACACACACACACGTTGTCAACGTCTTGACTTTAACAAAGCCAGGTCCTTCCCAAGTACAGTCGGAGTGCCTTTGGGGCCAATGTCGACCTAAGGGAACAGAAAACGAGCAGGTGGAGACAAAAAAACCAAAAAGACACACTGAAGGCTCAGAAGTCCACGCACTCCGTGTCTTTGGGGAGCTGCGATGGATCGAGACTCGGTGGTTCCTGCACTGCAAATGTGCAGCATCTTGTGCCGCCAACGGACACCGATGGACAGTCCGATGGACACCCATGGACAACAACACCATTCTGAGTCCGGGGGGATCCTTCCGTTTGGTACCACCCGTGAAGCGACGAAGCAGCACCGCTTCATCACCCATGCATCTGGTCGGCCTCGGATGTGCTCAGCAAAAACTGTGGGGCCTCCTTCGGCACACTTCTGTTTGCTGTACTCAGTATGACTGTCGACAAGTCTGGCGGCATGTCTCCCAGGCTTTCTCGCGTGCCGATATCCTCAAGGGCACTCGCTGCACATTCGTTGCGCTCTCCAAAGCGGCAGTTGCTACTTACTAGTCTACACACAGGCCTTGTTTTGCACGACCTTCAGATTCTCGAAAGCGTTGCACTGCAAAAGTGGTCCCTGCCTTCGGAGCCGGCATTCCGGTACAAATCAGAACTGACTCGTACGGCATAGTAAAGCTATTCTCTAATGTAGTCGGAATGCGGCGTGGGTTTGGCCGCGGCAGTTCGCGACGGTTCCTCCCCCACCCCCCACCAAGCCTTCTCTTGCACGCGATTTTGGACTGTATGTTACACTTCTGCAATTTCTTGCTGCCTCATTTCTCTACTCTATGTGGTTTCCCTGGGTTATGGCGTGTTGTGCAGCTTCATTTTCGCTTTCGGACTGTTTTTTTGCATTGTATGGTTTCGGTCATGCCTCAAAAGCTCCAAAACAACCATTCCTAAAATCTGCTGAGGCCTCGGAGCATAAAGCCGGCACCCCCCAACCCATCCAGCAACCCCCAACCCACCCCCACTCTTCAGCCTCGGGCCTCGATGAAACTGCTGATGAGGCGAGGCCTACAGCCCTGGCAACGGGCAGCACATCGGCTCGACAATCAGGGGTCTGTGAGGCTGGTCTTCACATGCGGCTGCGCAGGCCCCGGCCGAGGCGGGTCGCGTAGCGTTAAAATTGTAGGTTCCGGAAGCCCGACAATCATGAATGAGCTTGAAGAGCGAGTTTGGGACCCACAACATGCATCATCACCCGCGGCCGAATCCGCGCCGCATACCCTAGTCTCCTAGCCTTATGCGAAGTGTACACGTCCCCCACGGATCGCGTAGCACAAAAGAGAGAGCAAGCCAAATGTCCGGAGTATGTGCTTGCTCACGGTTTGCTCTCAGTTGCTGACGGCATCTCCATGAAGTCGCCCTCTGCTTCGGGGGCGGAGCCCACCGGAAGCTTGTCCGAGTCGGTCTTGCTTTTCTCAGGGTGACGGGTCACCGATGACAAAAAGCAAGAGGAGCGTTGAAGCATATCTACTTTACAAAGGCACCCACCCACACACGCACACACGCGCACACACAAACACACACACAGACACCGGCCTTGCTGAACAAGCCTGAGACAAAGCTCATCGCAAGGCTGCCCAGGCTGATGTCTTCCGCTTCCAACTTCGGCGGGGGAGTTCGATGAGAGAATGAGCCATACGGAGGGCGATACTCGCAGCAGTGATACCACCTCAAGCACGAGTAAACATCCCAAAGTTCTGCCATGACAGCACACATACTGCTCAAGAGCGCTGCAGCTGCTGGCTTGGAGTCGCGCAGCCCATCACGCGAATCATGAATGTACTCGACCTGCCGCAAGATGGGCAGAAGCGTTTAAATCTGCACCAATTCAAACTGCGATTTCTCGTCCGGATGCCCCACCCGCTTCACGCGCTTGAAGGGATTCTCAGTGTCGTAGGGGATGCCGCAGTCTTCCGTAATGCTTAGCTCTGAAGGCTCACAATATAGGCAAATGTAGGTGACACCAACAGGTTCCAAAGAGAGACAGCAGCTGGTTTTCATTTCGAGGCAAGCGACCTGGATCCAAGGACCTCCTTTGCCACGAAGAGATCCCGGATTCGCATACAATCTGCCCAGGGACATCCACTGGGTAAGGACAACAACCTTCTGTTAAGTCTGCACAGAAATCGCCTGGATCCAAGCCGTTGATGGACTCATTAGAGCAATCGAGAACGAAAGAAGTTGGAGAGCTGGATGTCATCATTGGCGCCTTAGGAAAGGTCCTCCCAGTTGATATTCCAGGTTGAGTTCTTGCTCTCTAAACCCCACGCACTCCTCCAGAGTCATCTGCAACAGCGCGTTGGAATCATGACCCTCCCGCACTCAAACTCTCGGCTTCGGCAGCAAAGCTGGGCACACGTGCTGCTAAGGCGCACACATCTAGCAAGGGAGTCGCGCACACCATGGCCCAGGCTGAGATTTGTCATTTTCTTGCAGAGTTGCCTGAAGGTGAGCCTGCTTCTCATGAGCTGCTCGCGCTCGGGTCTGCTGCACTACATGAGCTGTAGCTCGAGAATGCTCCAGACAGGACACAGAGCTGAACCGAACTGCCAACGAGCTGCCAACAAACGCCAGACAAAGCATAGCACACAAAGCATGGCACATGGCATAAAGTCACAAAGCGTTGTCCTCGCCTCCTCGGTCTGAGTCTTGCCAACAAGTTCAGCGGCGCTTCGGTCTCCTCAGCTGCCTCAAACTGCTTCAAACTGCTGCAAAATATGAGAGCCGCGAAGACATCAAACATCATGAAGGGAGAAGCAAAAGATCACCTGCAGGCTAGCCGGCTAGCCGAGCCTCACTGGCATTCTGCTCATCGCCTGTGCAGAGCCAAAGGCCAACATGCGATGTCTTACACGAGATGACTTGAAAGTGGCCTTTCTCCGGCGGCCGCTTTCCTCTCAAGATTCAACATTGACTCAGGGTCACGTGGCGTGGCCTCGACCCACATGAAGGCACGACTTGTCCTTTCTTTCCGCCATCGCCTCGGCATTGCCCAAGACTTTCATTTCTGCAAAAATAATGCTGCAACTCCTTCATGGCCGAGGTGCTACCCATGATGCCAGCTCCTTCGCTGGGGGGGCAGCACGGAAAACCGATGGGACTGAGAGCCAAACGCGGCCCACGCAGGTGCTGCAGTTGAACAATGGGCTCACATGTCAGGAATATTGAAGGACATTGAACAAAGGAAAGAAAGACAGGGCACGTCAGAAGCCCCATGGCAAACATGTCTGACTCCAACCTGCAGCCGTCCAGCAAGTCAAGTCCACACGCCTTCATGTAGCGAACTATACGAGGCTCGAACCCACACTTCGCAGGAAATGCGACCATCTCTGGCGCAGAATACCTGTGTGGTTCCAAGCAGTCTAAAAAACGTTGCAATGCTGGACAACATCGGTTCTGCGATCTTGCCTAGGAGGCGGCTCAAAGGTCAAAGTACCTGGCGCCTCCGGCACAACAAGAGCATTTACAAAGGTGAAACAATAGGCATGCAACACTTTCCGCTGAAGGTGCCTCTTGTCCGGAGAATGAAAAAGGGCAATCCATCAGCTGCCCCCACTGCACCTTTGTCAAGTCTGACAATAGATACCAGCGGTTTTGCACCAGTCAAAAGCCAAACTTCTGCTGGATGCAGGGACTTGCTGAAACTCCCGGGCCCCGCACGCCGCTGAACGAAAAGCCCAGGCTCCCCAGCAACCACTTGCCCTGCGCGACCCAAGACAGCCGTGCAAGACACGCTTGCGCTCCACATGTTCAGGATGTAACATCCAAGCATCTGCCGTCAGACCTGGTCAATTCTTACAAGTTGCCTGTGGGTCGATGAAGATGCTGTAAGGTGAGAAGCCCAGATGTGCCGTCTTGGCATCCTGGACCAGCACAAACGGCGAAACAGCTTCTGAACAAGAAGCACAAAGCCTTTGCCTGATGGAGAAACTGCATGGCTTCTGCCACATCAAGAAGTCCGCACCTCTGAAGCGTGTTGACAACGCGTGTTGACAGGTAGATCAAGCACGCAACAGGCTTGCTTCCATAGCAGCGACGATGTTGCAACAAGTAAATGCTATCAATACAAGGCACTTCATCTCCAGGTTGGACAGCTCGTGTCTGTTGTTCTCCAACAGCTGTGCCACGGTGCCTCAGTCTTGATGCTGCTTGAACACACTCAAGACACTCAATCAAGGAGAGATGGTAGTGAGTGCTCACCGGCTGGTTGTGCCTCTGTAATCTGGTGCCTGTTTCTGGGGCTGACAGAGGAAGCGTTGATGTGGCTCTCACTTGTTCTCATTTTCTGAACAGCTCGGTCACAAAACATGCTTCCCACCGACAAGACACGGATGCAGCTTGATGCCCGGACCCTACATATGGCCTTGAAGAGAGGTTCAGGCCAAACAACCCGACAACCACGAGCACAATGCTCACAATTTCGAGCACCGGGCCAACCACAGGCTTCGTCGCAAAGGCCAGAGTGCTCCTCTCCTCCACCAAAGCCTGCGCTTGCTCGTTGCCGAGACCACTGGCTTATCTGCTTGTAACGATTGTCTGTAAACTTGAGCGAAGACCGATGCAAACTGCAAGCCCAACTCAAGACATACTACTGGTATAGTATATTTACGTTGCTCGAGTCTTGGCCATTTTGGCATGATGCAGCAACAGTGGGGGATACATGTTGACTGGTATAAGAAGCAAGCAGCCACAGGCAAAACTCAAAGACAAATTCGGTGTATAAGGCACTCCCTCCAAAGTTGCCGTCGCAGAAGCTTGCCAGGAACGAACACAATGCCGGGATGCAGCAACAGTTCTCCGCTGCAGTGGGCATCACCTAAACAGCTAGCTCTGCGGTACACAAAAACGACTAAACTGTTCGCAGCTTGCTAGCTCGAGACCTCCATGACTCAGGCAGGTCAGAGCAGTGACACTGCTGCAGGACTCGTGTGCTTCCGCTTTTACGGAGTAGATGCAGCAGCTCCGCACTTCCTCCAAAGTTGCCGTAGCAGAAGCTTGCAAGGAAGCACACAATGCCAGGATGTGCAACGGTTCTCTGCGCGACAGAGGCATCACCTAAACAGCTAGCTCTGCACTGTCTCCCAAGCGACCGTAGCAGAAGCTAATGAAACGAGAGGCGACGCAACAGCTCTGATGGAAGCCGGTACAAAATGAAGACTAAACTGTTCGCGGCTTGCTAGCTCGAGACCTCCATGACTCAGGCAGGTCAGAGCAGTGACACTGCTGCAGGACTCGTGTGCTTCCGCTTTTACGGAGTAGATGCAGCAGCTCCGCACTTCCTCCAAAGTTGCCGTAGCAGAAGCTTGCAAGGAAGCACACAATGCCAGGATGTGCAACGGTTCTCTGCGCAGACAAAGGCATCACCTAAACAGCTAGCTCTGCACTGTCTCCCAAGCGACCGTAGCAGAAGCTAATGAAACGAGAGGCGACGTAACAGCTCTGATGGAAGCCGGTACAAAATGAAGACTAAACTGTTCGCGGCTTGCTAGCTCGAGACCTCCATGACTCAGGCAGGTCAGAGCAGTGACACTGCTGCAGGACTCGTGTGCTTCCGCTTTTACGGAGTAGATGCAGCAGCTCCGCACTTCCTCCAAAGTTGCCGTAGCAGAAGCTTGCAAGGAAGCACACAATGCCAGGATGTGCAACGGTTCTCTGCGCAGACAAAGGCATCACCTAAACAGCTAGCTCTGCACTGTCTCCCAAGCGACCGTAGCAGAAGCTAATGAAACGAGAGGCGACGCAACAGCTCTGATGGAAGCCGGTACAAAATGAAGACTAAACTGTTCGCGGCTTGCTAGCTCGAGACCTCCATGACTCAGGCAGGTCAGAGCAGTGACACTGCTGCAGGACTCGTGTGCTTCCGCTTTTACGGAGTAGATGCAGCAGCTCCGCACTTCCTCCAAAGTTGCCGTAGCAGAAGCTTTCCAGCAGCGGTTCTCTGCTGCCGACGAAGGCAAAAGTCAACGATCTGCTTTTACGACGAGCCGGGCAGCCGCCCAGAAAACTCTTTTCGAAGGCCTTTGTGCAGAGGCATGTTTACAGAGATGGTAGGAACGAATTCACAAACTCGCGTTTGCGACTAAGCAAAATTCGCCTCGGCTTCCTGCCGAGAAGCGTCCTGGAACAAGCAGACCCGGATCGGGCCCCCCCCCCCGCCCTGTGGGACCCCCCCCAATCGCTTGAAGGAGCTGCAAACCGATGCTGTGGAGGGTCCCGCCTGTCAAAGGCTCCTACAGGGGGAGTGCCTCAAAACCCCCCCCACCCCCAAAACCCCCTCCCACCCCCCCACCCCCCACCCCCCCACCCCCCCCCCACACCCCCACACCCCCCCACCCCCCCCCCACCCACCCCCCCCCCACCCCCCCCCCCCCCCGCCACCCCCCCCCCCACCCCCCCCCCCCCTTTCTCCCCTTTTTTATCCTCCTTTCCTGTCCTGGGGACGGTCCGGCTGCCGAGGCGGCGCGCGCAAGCGTTTACAATTATTCTGCTTGCAGAAGTGTTGAAGCCTTCAAGCAAAACACCCCCAAACCTTAAAGCCCAAACGCCCAAGAATCCGAAAGCCATCTAAACACCTAACCCCCAAGCCCGAACTTGTCAATCTTAATGCTCTGTACCTTCGAAGAACATCTAAACCGACACACCACCGACAGAAAATCCCGCAGATTCCGCATTCCTAACTGCTACGGCTTGAACTTTCGACCCCGAACCTTAAAACCAAGCCCAGAAGACTGAACTTGTCATGTTTGAAGCTCAGACAATTCAAGCTTCTCACCTATCTGAACATGTAAAATCTCTGCGCATGCCAGCATTTCGCAAAGAATGTTTTCAGTGGCGCCGTTCCGTTCCCACAACCCGAAACATTGACGACATCCGAAAATTCCATTACATACAGTGAACTCGACCTGCCGACAGCGAATCGTCCCCATCGAAGGAAACGGTGTTTTCGGACATGCACTCCAAGCGACCACGCACAAAAAGCTCTAGAAAAAATCCAAGGTTTTGCAATCTACAACTCCAAAATCGCATTGCATATTTGGCGGGGTCGCTATGCCCCGTAACCTTGTTTTTGTGCTGGGCCGCGGAGCCATGGACACAGTTGCAGTCTCAAACGCAGAGCTTGGATTGGCCACCATGTGTGTGCGTGCGCGTGCGTGTTTGCGTGAATCTTGTGGGTATGAACTACTTCGGATACTCGAGGGCCACGACCTACAACATGACGAAAACCCGAAAAACCTACAGAAGACAGAAGCGCAAACGTCGCAGTGTAGAAGCAGAAGTATATATATATATATATATCTGTCTGTCTGTCTGTCTGTCTGTCTGTCTGTCTGTCTGTCTGTCTGTATGTATGTATACATATATATATATATATATATATACATATATATATGATGCGGGTGCTGGCGGCCACCCCCCTCCCAACGGCAACCCCCCCTGTGGTGTGGTTTTAGGGTTTAGGATTTAGGGTTTTAGGGTTTTAGGGTTTAGGGTTTGGGGTTTAGGGTTTAGGGTTTAGGGTTTGGGGTTTAGGATTTAGGGTTTAGGGTTTCGGGTTTAGGGTTTAGGGTCCCGCCCCCCTGTGTGGTGTGGTTGTGGGTTGGTTTTAGGGTTTAGTTAGGGTTTAGGGTTTAGGGTTTAGGGTTTAGGGTTTAGGGTTTAGGGTTTAGGGTTTCGGGTTTCGGGTTTCGGGTTTAGGGTTTAGGGTTTAGGGTTTAGGGTTTAGTGTTTAGGGTTTAGGTTTTAGGGGGTTGGGGGGGCGGGAGGGGGGGTTGGGGGAGGGGGGGTTGGGGGGGGGGGGTTGGGGGGGGGTTTGGGGGGCGGGGGGTTGGGGGGGGGGTTTGGGGGTTGGGAAGGGGGGGGGGGTTGTTATACCATTCCTGCCCCCCTCCATCCACACATCCGAAAACGTGAAGCAGAACTCCGAGGGATGTGACAAGCACTGGAGGAGCGCCGCGCCAGCAGGTGGGCAGCTGCGAGCAGTCTATCAATCTGTGAGGTGTGCACAGAGGCCACCCAACAAGCCGGCGTGCAGCCTAGCTGCAGTCAAAGAAAGCGTTTAGCTGGCCAAAATACCACCTAACACATGTCCTCAGCATGTCCCCCCAGAAGCAAGGTTGAAAGCTTGCATGAACGATCAGCTGTGCATGGATCTGCACCTCGATGACGCTAAGAATGTGTGGGTGGCGAAGCCGCTGTAGACTCGTGGCATCCTGAGGGGCACGAGAGAACTCAGCCCAGCACAGCCCAGCCCAGCACACACAACATCACACAACCCAACGTGCAACATGAGCCTTTTTGAGAAGCTCCACTATTTGCTCTTTCGCATTTTTGGCATACCTCGAGCAATTGCTGCAACAAGGCGCGCCTTCACGTCACTGCTGAGCTGCTGGCTTCTCTATGACCTTTCTCTCGAAAAGAAAGATGGTAAGCTTTTCATCAGGCTTTTCCTGGCGACAGCTCCGAATGCTAGGTGGATGTGGGTGGACGATGTGGCAACTTGCTGGCTGGAACAAAAAAGTACGACACCTTGAAGCTTGCGCTGTGAAGCTTCCATCGAAGTTCCGGGCCTTATCTGTGGACTGCTGCAGCAAATATACACACTAATTGCCTCATTTGGCAGCTGACCTCCGAAACATTGGCCTTACTAGGCTGCTGACTGTAGTAGCAGGGCTCCTTCTGCACGTCGTACCTCCGTGTAGGCTGAGATGTCCAATGCTCTATGTCGAAGCAGGAGAGGAGGGGCACTGCGTCAAGATTTTGTTCCCCATGCCAGCACGCCTGGCAAGGCCAAGGCAAGCTCATGATCTCTTGTCTGGACTGCTGGATGCACTGTGGCGTGCCTCCAGTGGTTTGCAGGAGAGCAGATGAGGCAATGCGACAAATCTTAAACTAAACTGGGTTCTGGTCGTGCTCGCGTGCTCGTGTGTCTAGGCAGAAAGGTCTCATAGCATCATTGGCCATGCTCGTACATCCGTTTCTGCATCAAGCCTCCGTAGACACTAGCAGAAACTGATTGTAGTTGCTCGCATTGTTTGCAGGAGCTTGAGCAGCAGATCGGTCCAATCCAGCACATGACCCGACAACGAACTGTGAAGCCAAACGTAAAGTCGATTCCATTCGATGCCTACAACAGCCACAACTCCGCAGCAAGCCAACAGCGCTCGCTGGGCCACGATGGGAAAAAAGTTTCTTTCGTTACTCCATGAAATCCAAGAATGCAGGGGGGCAACTTTATCCTGTAAGACAACACCCCAGTTCCCCACTCCTGCGTCAACCAGCCATAAAACTCCATCAAAACAAGCATTTAGCACGAAGTCGAGCATATGCAGCCGCTCGCATTGCAACGACATTCTGCGCTGTGAAACTATATTCCAGCAGGTCCCAAGGCCATGGGAAGGCTTTCTGGCGTGGCGCCATGCATCTGTGATCGAGATCTGGTACTGGTACTTCTGGCATAAGCGATTTGGTAACGGACCCCCTTGTCAAGAAAATCCCGTCAGCCCAAGCGCTCACAAATGGGTTTGCCATTCCATGCTCCGACTACACCTCGATCAAAGGCCCAGCCTGTCTTTCCGGCTAGCTTCAAAAAATGCTGGCCATCTTTCCGGATGACGTCATCCACCTGAAAGCTCTCATAGGGCCCAAGACTTTCACCTGTCGGCTTGGAAGCCACATCTGGAAGTTCACGAAGCCGGATCTTTGTCAGGGATCGCCATGTTGCGGGCACCTCTAAAAGGGAGCTGCGCTCCTTGCCTTCCACGTCAGGATCGAATAAAGTATCAAACTTCTGACCCCTTCGTTGGTATCTGCCTTTGTATCGCGGGCAAACCCTGTATGCCTTCACAGGCGAATCATCAAAGACCTGCGCAATGCCGCCCATTAAGCGGCCATTTCCATCGCAGTCCTTTCGCTGGGCCTGGCCGCAACCTGGGCATCTCACTATCCGCCGCTGAGCATGGCCCGCAACTCGTGGCCTTCTTGGCTGCAGCTTTTGAATACCAACAAATGCCCTCAAGGAGCCCAAAGCAATGCACAGCAACAACCCCACACAAACCGCAATGGGCCGTCCATGATGCCCTGCCCAGAAACCACTCCAGCACTTGTGACGAGCCATGTGAGGTCGCTCCCCGTTTTCCTCGTTGACCCAAGGTTGCTGCGGCCAGACATGTGGAATCACTGAAGTGCAAAGATGTGCCGGTTTCGCTGCATGGTAACATCAAGGAGAACTCTGCAACAAGCGAAGGTGGCGAACATTTTTGACTTGCAAGTCTGATGGCGAATTCTTTACTGTTCCTCAGCGCATGAGCTTTCAATGATAGGACTGCCGTCTTCTTACATGCAACTTGTCATAGCGAGCTGCATTAAGCCATCATATGTCATAGTCCTCCTAGCATCTTGATCACCAAAAGAGTATCACACGTACAGTCAGGCAGATCAGTGAAACTACCTGGAGGTGAAACATTACCTTCCAGCTTCGCGGTGCTCATTTCACGGACTCAACAACATGCAGATGGACCTTTCAGTCATCCTGCCTTGAACGCCAGAACGGCCAACTCGTCAATGTAGAAGTACACAAAATGCTTGGTTTCGTGGGTAACGTAAGACCCGAAGTTTCGCCCCACTATGCAGTGCCAAAACGGCGTGTGACTTTTGTCCAACTCCTTCTTGATGAAGTTGGCAATGTCCTTTTCGGTGTTGTACCTGTCCATTGCTGTTTTGGCGAGCTCCACAACCTCGACCTGCAAAACATCGTTCATGTCCGCATTCTTGATTTGGACCTTGGCTTTGTCTATCTGCCTACACAGCCAAGACGCTCATATCGCAAGCCTGAGTTGCGTGATGTTGCTGCCAAGGAACTTTCCTCTCGGTGGCCATTGCACCGAGTTTGCAGGTCAACCTACCCGGACAACCTAACTGAAGCTAGAGGCACAGTTGCTGCGATTAAGTGCAGGGTCGACTACACACATGCATCTCGCCATCAGCTTGTTGTTGGTGCAGGGATGAACTTTTCTCCAGGCGCTCCACACAACCTTCTGAGAGGCACTCGGAAACCGAGTAGTTGGGCTACTGGCCGACGACCGAGGTTTCGGAGCGAGTTAAACTCCCTGGCCAGTCTTCACCACAACATGCCAAAGGCGCGTGACACTTCGAGCCAGGTGCCCAAATGCGCAAGGCGAGCATGTAACTGTTGTTCGTCCTGGAGCTGTAGTTTACAATGTCTCCTTGTCGAGTCGAAACTTTGCGGGTAGAAGCTCTGGGTCGCCTGCACAGACCTCACGCCCAAAGCTTGCCGAGATGATGCACCGACACCGACTCCGATTTAAGTCGAAGCTCGGCTGCTGGCAATTGCAAGGGGTAGCTTACTGGTCCTTCTTGGCCTGCTCTGCTGTTCAGTTTGGGAATCACTCGAAGAATCACAGCCACATGCACACTGAAAACAATGTCTTTGGCAGCTAGGGATATGGCTTCTGCAGCGCCTGACTCCCTGGCGCCAAATTTGAGATACTTTGCCGTCTGTCCAGAACTAGTCGCACCTTCAGTACCTAGCAAAGTTCGGTGCACCTTGATGTCTCCCCAGGCGGAACAGAAAGCCCAGCCTGCCGCACAGATATAACAATGAGGAAGCAACTGGAGTCCAAATTTTGAACATGCTGCAGCATAACTGCTGCACAAGCCTCCTCCATCATGAGCTTTACCTTGCGTTGCGCACATATGCAACAACTAATAACAAGTATCGCTGGCACACGTGGAAGCTTGAACAGATGCAAGATTCGGACTCGGTCTGACTCCCACTGTCGATAATCAATGAACAGGTGAACGGCTACCTGACACGGGAGGAATTAACAAATCAGCAGTGCTCGCGCAACCTTAGCAGCATACATCAATCACTGAGGCCATCTGCCACAAACGCATAGAGAACCAAGAACAAAATGATGTAGAACCTGAGTCGCATTGCTGTTTACGACCACGTGCGACTGAACATACCGAACTCTAAAACCGCATTTGTGCTTCAGCATGGAACGCGTTGCTCAGACTGACACCACCATTTAGTGAAGAGGTTGAACTCGTTGAGATCATCTGGTTTTACGTCACGCAATGCAACAATGCAACACGACCACCCTCCTCCTCAAAAGGCCTGCATCTCCCACCATGGCCAAAAGGAAACCGAATGGCACTGGTTCTTGCTGAGTCGCTTTTGAATCTTTAATGCCAGGTTAAGAACGGTCTGAAAACCGTGGTGTGAAAGAGTAATTTTCTCAGCCGTCTGCAAAACACTCAACATCTTCCCTGATGTAGCTGCGCGAGGTGAAAGCAGCTGAAACTTGCAGAACATGCTGTCACTGTCCCAGGGGCACTTACAAAACAAGGTTACGGCGCGGTTAATGCGATTCTTGGGGTTGTGGATTGCAAAATCGGTGTTTTTTCGATGCTTCTGTGTGTGGCTGGGATGCATATCCGAAAACACCGTTCCTTTCGATAGGGACGATGTCGACAGGTCGAATTCATTGCAAATAACAGCATGCTTGGAGGAGTCCCTTCTTCGGGCTATGGGAGCGGCATGTTTTGAAAGAGGTTGCGTAGAAGACCCTGGTATTAACAGCGAATTCGCATGTTCAGAGAGCTTTTGTGAGTTGTCTACTTTTGAAACTTGAGTTGTCTGAGCTTCAAGATTAACGGGTTCAGGCTTCTGGGCTGGGTTTGCGAGGGCTGGGGGGGGTTCAGGGTTACTGCCTGCAAGACAGCAAAGGACCACCATCTTTCTCCCCCCCACTGCTATCTTCTGATCTCATTCTTAATGGGAGCCCCCTCCCGCCCTACTTTTGGTTTCCTTGCTTTCTCGTCTTTCAAGACAGGAGCCAGGTTTCGGAAGAGAAACAGAGAGACAGAGAGACAGAGAGACAGAGAGACAGAGAGACAAAGAGACAGAGAGACAGAGAGACAGAGAGACAGAGAGACAGAGAGACAGAGAGACAGAGAGACAGAGAGACAGAGAGACAGAGAGACAGAGAGACAGAGAAGAGACAAAGAGAAAAGAGAGAGGCAGAGAGAGGCAGAGAGAGGCAGAGAGAGGCAGAGAGAGGCAGAGAGAGGCTGAGATAGGCAGAGAGAGACAAAGAGAGACAGAGAGAGACAGAGAGAGACAGAGAGACAGAGAGAGGCAGAGAGAGGCGGAGAGAGAGGCAGAGAGAGACAGAGAGAAGCGGAGAGACACAGAGAGACACAGAAACAAAGAGGCACAGAAAGACACAGAGCGAGACACAGAGAGACACAGAGAGATGCCGACGGACACAGAAAAACACTGGGTTAGCGTTCACTCGCGCTTCGGACTCTACCTTTTCTGCCACAGCTCAAGGGCCCTTCGAGAGGTAACAGCAACAGTAAACAAAATGTACAACATGCAAACTGCTGCTGCTCTCAGAACTACACATGAAAAGGCACGCACTCAAGCTATACATGCAAGAATCGAGGTGATATTCACACCCGTCTTACTTATTGATGCGTGCCTGGGGCTCATTCAATATTTTAGTTGAGTTCTGAGTGTGACTATACAGCGTCTATACAGATAGGCCTCTACCAGACTGCGATTCCTTGGCAACTACTAGCTCACTATTCCTGGCGGTCACGTCTATACATCTTTGCTCCCGTCACTCATTTGTAGTCATCTTCTTGATTTCACTCTTGGTGAGCTTGCGATCGGGATCTGATAGCTGCACACTCGCTTCTTCCATCAAGCGAAATAGCTGATGCGGGATCTCGTGGCGTTTCTCGGCGCGCCGCGCGTTGGCTCGCTCTGATCGCAAAGGTATGCCTAGAGGGCGCCCGCTCCTCTGCCCGTGCAATCGGGGATCTCGATCTGGTCCGCCTGTCCGGCCTCTGGACCTAGAGCGTCTCCTGCTCCGCGATCGCCTCCTCGACCTCGAGCGACGGCGCAGCTCGTTCCTCAGAGCGCCAACCTCGCGACCCAGGACTTCGACCCATTGCATTAGCGCCTTATTCTGGGCCTCCAAAACAGAGAACTGGGCTCCTCAACCTCGATTGGTACTTCGACATCGGTCAAATCGACCGTCTCAGCTGCAGCACTCGCAGATGGCCTAGGGCGGCCCGCTCCTGGCCTTGGCATCGGCTTGCTCTTTGGGCCAGCTCCAAGCGACGGTTGCGCGGCAATCCCAAAATAGCGGATGCAAGACGGAGCGTTGATGCGTCCCTTCCAGGAGAGGTACTCTTCTACTCTCTCCACGTGCTCTACCACCGCCAGCTGGGCTTCGTGCGCGCTGTGGTGTGGTCGCATGTCCCGCAGGATCCACGGCATCTGCCCCCCATGCTGTCCCAGGAGCCGCTGGACATTCCGTCGTGGCTGATCGTTGTGCGGAACTTTCCAGAGAGCGCCTGCGCCAAAGTTACGCAGCCGGCCACCGACCTATGTCGGCCTTGGGTACATATGCAAATGCATATGACCTGCTCCACCGATGCGGGTGCCTCGCAAACAACCTGGTTCACGTAGAAGATCATGTCTCTGAACTCAGGATTCTCCCATTGGCTGGCCAGGTTTCCAGGATGCGAGCCAATATGCCCCTTCAACCAGGACAACGAACCCGACTGTATCTCGGGGTTGAGAAATCCAAACAATTGCAGATCAGGATCGCGGTGCGCCCAGTCAAGGGCCCGTGCAGAGCCTTGGCCAATGCCTTTGCAGTCTCCTGCCCAGGGCTGTAGATGTACGACGAAGCTTCGCGGCGCCATCGGGTCCCCGTGGAGACAATGTGGACACTCGGCATCTGATTTCTGGACCGAGGTTCACTGCTTACCACGTTGGCCTGAACATTTCCCTGGTAGGTTCCACCCAAATCTGCAGTAGTTGAGGTGTGCGCGCCTTCATCCCTAATCCCTTCGAGGTGCTGCTTACGGTCATCGGGTTGCTTCTGGGAATCTGTGTCCTGCTTCTGGGAATCTGTGTTCTGCTTCTGGGAATCTGTGTTCTGCTTCTGGGACTCTGTGTCCTGCTTCTGGGAATCTGTGTCCTGCTTCTGGGAATCTAAGTCCTTGGACATCAAACCCTCATGATCCTCGACCTTGCAAATCTTCCTCTGCAATGGCGCTCTGTAAGGTCGAAGC